CTCCAGCCGCCGAACACCAAGGTACTCCCTCCCGGATGGACCACCCCCGAGTGTGTGCTCTAGGCTTCCCGGACACCAGGTGTTGCGCCGATAATTGCATGGGGGATGGACCTCGTCTATCCCGCATGCAACCCCGACGCCTTCAAAACACGCCTTCCAGCGTACCAGACAGACTGCTCCTAGATTCGGTATCGTGTGACCGTATACACCACCTGCTGGATCTTCCAAGGCGCAGGGTCAGGCAAGCCCTCCATTTTCTGCGATGGTCGCCACCTTGTCGTAGTGCAGAAGCTTGACAGCCACAATAATCCAAGGGGATGGACTCAACTTGGAATCTTAGGATTTCAAGTTCGAGGGTGAACCGAGGAGAGTGGCTACTAAGAGCGACCAATACATGCTCCGAGATGGGCAGCTGCCTCTCGAAGCATTAAGGGACCTGAGGGCTGCTCTAGAGTGGCATTAAGGACCCTTTGCTAGTGTCTTTGCTAGTATCCATCTTTGACGCGCGCTCAAACAAAACTGAGTCAACTAATCACAAAACTGTCAGAAAAGTTTTTTTAGTACGAAATCTCATCTTTCTAACGCCATCTAGTGGAACCCGATCGGACTTATACAACGCGAGATACAGATAACTAAAGCCATCTATTGGAAAAATAATGGATTTCTTTTTACTACACCTGATATGTAACCTAAATAATATTTTGATTCATTTACAGATTCTGAAACTTTTCATCGATTTGTTATTGGAAAACTGGTAAATATAGAAATGAAAATAAATATAATCGAAACAAATCAAAAGCTTATTTTACAAAAATTGTTAGTTAGTGATACTGTGTGTTCAGAAGAAAAAGACGATATCGATATTTTCCAAGATTTACCACTCAAAACTGAAAAAGAACTTGAAGCGGTAGAAACAAAATTAAATAATGACAAAATATAGGAAACATGGTAAGTTATATCTCTCTCTTACAAAAATATTTTGCCATTTTTATTCTCACTTGTCCACTTTAGTTCGTTTTTAGCGCGTATATCCATTTATAGGTCGTTATATATAATAGGTCGTAAAGAGACACTTTTACATGTCAGTTAACACGTTCCTCTTTTATTTATTTTCGAGCATCACTAATTCTATATAAAATAATGTATTTGAATGTTAACACGATTTCATGGCAGATTGGCAACAGGTAACCCACAGGTCCTGCGCGCAGTAAGGTCTTCTCGATTTTTGTCACCAAACTGCTATCAGATCACTACAGACACTGTTTCTGCTGCAAATCTGCTAATATTGCCTGTCAGCAGGCACTGTGACATATTTAGCACCAGTGTGACAACATATTTTTATATAACAGATCCTGCATCAAATGTTTTGCCACGTTACCATAAAAAATCAGTAATAAGCTTTTCTCGAGATTTATTTATGCAGGTCTGGCTATTTGGCTTTTTACTCATAATTTCTTTTACGTAAATTTGACAGTTATATTTTAATTGTTGAAATAAAAGAAAGGCATTCGGATATTTTTCAACGTGTGCTGTATAAGTCACAAGTGTCATTTTATACATATATTTTTAGTATTTCTACTTATAACACGGTATATTAACCGTCAAACACTACACTCGTGCGAATTCGTACCAGCAACAATTTGTTTCGTTTGTAAATCACTTGACTGTGTGAATGGTTTTGAAAATAGAAGTTCAAATTTATACGTTAAAACTACTTTTATTTTCCCAAAGTTATTATTCGTCAAAACTTAATGAAAACTTAAAATCCCAAAACGCACTAGTATAATGTTTGCGTAGATCTAGGTTATGTGTGATATTTGGGGATTAAATTTATTTTATTTCCTCTTTTCTCATATTATCAAACTAATAATAAATAATAGTAAATATTACATGTTATCAAATAATGACTGTTACAGCGAGGACATAAAAGCTTTAACAGTATAATTATATTTCAGATTAAGCAATTGGCCCGAATTGTATGCCAAGATATTAAAATATCGTGCGTTTGACTTATGAGGCAAATTTTTTCAAATGAATTAGCCATGAAATATAGTTGGGTTGGAGCGAAGAAGAAAGAGATCTTTTCGGACTTAAGATTATGTAAGATACTTATGCGTAAATAAAATAAATTCTTAATTTTTATTTATTTCATGGCATTAAATATCTTTATACTAATGAAAATAGATATACAGAATGTCCCAAAAGTAACAGATCACCTTAATAACTCTTCGGTACTGAAGTTTCAAGGAAAATGATCTGAATAAAAGTTGTAGGGATTTAAGTGAGCTATATTATGATGACCTTGACATTGACCTTGACCTCTATTTTCAAGATCATTTAAAGGTCAACTTCCGTTTTTTAAGTGGAAACTTTTGTTTTTTATTACACTGTTTGCTACTAATTAATTTGAACAACTTTTGTCTAAAACACTTTTTTATTTCTTCTGAACACACAGTATCAGTAACTAACAATTTCTGTAAAATAAGCTTTTGATTTGTTTTGATTATATTTATTTTCATTTCTATATTTACCAGATTTCCAATAACAAATCGATGAAAAGTTTCAGAATCTGTAAATGAATTAAAATATTATTTAGGTTACATATTATTTTAGTTACATAAGAGATTACATAAAAATAAATAAAATGATTACGAGCAAATTTCCCAGTCATTTACCCAGTGATATGAGGTGTCGACGATAATAATTATCTTCAATACTTTAATTTAATAATTATCTTTAATATGAAAATAATCTAAAATAGAGATTCAATTAGTATAAATTAATATATATGAATTAGTAATTATACAGGGTGCACGATTTATATGAAGACATTGAAATATCTCGAGAACTATGCATTGGATAAAAAAAGTGGTTAATGAAAGTTGTTAGTCTCGAAGGGGGACATCCAATGATACCAAACTCGACCTCCCACCCCACCCCCTGGGGGTGGAGGTTGGGGGCAAATTTGAAATCTTAAATGGAAACCCCCATTTTTTATTGTAGATACGGATTCTACGCCACAAAATACGTAAATTTTGTCCGAAACTTTTTTTTTATTCGTGATAGATGGCGCTGTAATCGCAAAAAATTATATTTTCCACAATTCTCCAGAAATGATCATTGGATTGAGAAATAAAAAATACCTGTTCAATATTTTTAAAGAACATAATAAAAGTTATTCCCCCCCATCCTCTCGGGGTAGGGTAGGTGATAACGTTCAAATCTCAAATGGGGACCCACATTTTTCATTGCAGAATTAGATTGTACGTGAAATTTTTATTGAAACAATTTTTTTCATTCGTGATAGATAGCGTTGAATTTTTCCGAGAAACTACTTTTAGCGTTACACAGGAACAACGACGAGGACGTAGTAATTTTATGTTTCGTTCGGGTGCTTCTTTAATGTGAGTTCCCTTGCCTCTCACAGATCGGGGTACTTTTTTAATGTGAGTCCCCTTGCCTCTCACTGTTCAATTAATTAGAGTAAGTGTTCGAAATTTTCACCTTCAACTTCAATATACTTATTGATCCTTTTTTCAAATGACTGTACACAGGATAGAAGCATATTTGCAGGAGTTTCAGCGCAAGCGTTTCTTATGCGTTCGACCATGTTTTCACGAGTTGTTGGCACTTGTTGATAAACCTTATCTTTTAGGTAAACCCACAGAAAGAAATCCGGCGATGTCAAATCAGGCGACCTAGTAGGCCAATTAATCGGGCCACCTCTGCCAATCCACCGACCATTGTAATCACGGTCTAATACTTCCCGTGCTGCTATTGAGTTATGCGCTGGGCAACCGTCATGCTGAAACCACATACTTTGTCGAACGTCCAAGGCAACATCATCAAGTAGTGGTGGTAGTTCCTGTTCCAGGAAATTTCGATATTTGATTCCATTCAAATTACCTTTAATAAAATAAGGATCAATGAGTCTGTTCCCTATGATTCCACACTAAACGTTAACCGACCAAGGACGTTGATGTTCAACTTGTCGTAACCAATGGGGATTTTCTACATTCCAGTAATGCATGTTATGTCGATTAACGCCACCATGGTTTGTGAATATAGACTCATCTGAAAATAGTACAGTAGCAATGAAATTGAGGTTCGTTTGCATTTGTTGAAGTGCCCATTCACAAAACACCACTCGATTATGAAAATCATCGCCATGGAGTTCTTGATGCAGTGAAATGTGATATGGGTGATACTTATGACGATGCAATATTCTGCGAATACTTTTTTTTTTTTTTTTTTGACGAGGAGGAAATCCATCATGGATACCCTGACCCTCGGGGAAGGGCCAGGGTTATGCCGGACTCCTACCGGCTAAAACCTCCCCGGGTGGCGCTGCGAAGGGACTTGGGTCGGGGCCCCGGTGCCGCGTAACTGCTAATCGGGGCCCCGAGTCCAGGTTTGCACCTTCTGTCCCTGAGGAGCGGGGCGGGGGAGGGGGGAAGCCGACCCGAGGGTCCGCTTCGACCACCGCTCCCCCAGGGGAAGGGGGAAGCCGGCCCGAAGGCCCGCTTCGACCACCGTTCCCCTTTCCCACCCCTCACGCCTCGTCTCTTCGGTCGGGAAGGCGGAAGCCGGCCGAGGCCCGCTTCATCACCGTTCCCGACCAGACGAGGCGCCGCCAATATACGTTGTGTGGCTGACTGACCCACCGTATCAGCCAGCCACCCTACGTTGGGAGGGTTGGCTGGGGCACCGGGAGTCCCCGCCCGGTGCCCCACCCTCCCGCCCGGCGGTTGCGGGGAGATATACTCCCCTAGCCGCCGGGCTCTCCCCACCTCCGCAGAGGAATGGGGTGGGGGGTCCTAATGACCCCCCTCCCGCATGTCCGATTAGTCTATCGGACCTGCGATTGAGGGGGGGAGGGGCATTTATTCCGATGGTTCGTTGCCATCGATGCCCTCTCCCCCCCTTATTATCATCCGACACCCTTCTTCTTCGAGGGAGTCGGTGGTCTGCGGGCGTGGGGAGGTGCGCGAACCTGGCGCTCATATACCCTGAGGCCAGGGTGAGGACACGGCCGGGGATACCATCGGGTCCCGGAGCTTTCCTGCTCTTGACCCGCCTGGTAGCCTCGGCCACCTCCTCCTCGGTGACTTCCGGAACCTCCCCCTGATGTTCGGGGATGGGGTTACATACGGGGTGATGGGGTTGTCCCCCTCAACCGGGAATAGGGTCCCCATCACCCGTCCCAGGAACCGGGAGTCGAGCGTCTCCGTCAAAGGGGGCGCCCATGGTCTCAGCTTTTGCATGACCATCCTGTATGGGCGCCCCCACGGATCCGCGTCTAGCGAAAGGAGGAGGTCGTCCCACTCCTTTCCTCTGGCCACCCCTATGGCGTTCCGGAGTTCTTTCGCGGCTGCGCAGAACTCCCGCCGGGCGGCCAGAGTGACCTCAGGGTCCGCGTCCCTACGCACTGCTCGGAACGCGCGCCTGAGGTGGACCGACCTCCGCCGCAACGCGGCAATTTGGTCGGTCCACCACCAGGCGCATCGTTTTGGGCAGGCCCTGACTCTGGGCATGGAGGCATCACACGCGAGTGCGAGAACCTGCATAACCTCCATGACCTCAGAGTCAAGGTCCTGCCCGTCCTTCCATTGTGGCCAGGTGGAGCCCATGAGGGAGATCTCAAGGTCTTCCCTGTTTAACTGGGCTAGTGCCCATCTACCGGGCCGGGGTCCGTCCGTATTGCGGGGCCGTAGGCCATCGGGAGTGACGGAGAGCTCCATCTCTATTATGAGATGGTCAGACAGTGATTCTAGCTCTTCCGCCACCCTCCAGGTCCGCACCCTTCGCAGGGCCGAGGGGGTTGCCCAAGACAGGTCGATAATAGACTCCCCCCTCGACCCCACGAACGTAAATTTTTTTCCATCATTCATAATGTGCAGACCTAGGCCCACGGCCCAATCCGCTGTTACCTCCCCCCTCCTGTCATCGCGCCGGGAGCCCCATAGCTCCGACTTGGCGTTAAAATCGCCGGCAACGATGACAGGACCCGGGAGATGTCTCTTGATGACATCTCCCATTTCTTGGAGCCTGGACTTGTACTCAACCAAGCCCAGGCTCTTTTCTGGGGGGAGGTACACCCCGACCACGGTGACGACTCCCCACCTGGCCACAACGAAACCCCTACCGCGATCCACGTATTTCGCGGGGGGTGAGTTATTACTCGCCTTCCAAACTATAGCGACAGAGCCCCCTTCATCCCCGAACCATCTATGGTTCCTGGGGACATGATGGGGCTCTGCCGCTATACCCAATCCTGCACCGCGCTCCGTCATCGTGTGCTCAAACAAAGGGAGCGCTTGGCGGGCGCGGTGCAGGTTCCCTTATAACAGTTTAGTGTCCATTATCTTGTTCAGTTATAATAACAATCTTCTCTCCCGGCTGTTCGCCGTCGGTGTCCTCATTTTCTATTTGTCTTGCTCGTTTCTCTCCTCTCTTCTCCTCCACCTCCATCTTCCCATCATCAGTGGGGGGCTGAGGGGGAGGTGGAAGAGGGAGGGAGGTTCTTCTCCTCCTTTGAGGAAGCGGGGGTTGGGGTTCCGGCTCCCGGTTTACCCCCCCCCTTCGCCTCCTTCCCTTCCTCGGTCTCTCTCCTCCTCTCCTCTGGGGATGCGGGAGGGTCTCGTGGCGGCGGTGCGGTCGCCATACCCCCTTCCACCGCATCCCCAGAGATTTTCTTCTTTCCCTTGGGGGAACGGCAGGATGGTCCCCCCATTCTATGTCCTGATTTGACACCGGCCTCCTCACAGATTTGACACCTGGCTCTTGAACTACAGTCCCGAGCCAGGTGTCCGGGTTCTCCGCATCTATAACAGTTGGCTCTTCTATCGCTGTTACTTGTGCAATTAATCTGCACGTGCCCTCTTTCCAAGCATTTAAAACATTGAAGGGCCCTTGCCTGTAGAAGTTCTACTTTGGTCTGCGTCCAACCTATTTTAATGTTGCCTAATTCGGCAACTTTCTTCGCCGCCGCGAGGGGGCATTGTACCCATAGCGTTCTATATCTATTCCACGCCTCCCTCATTTTCGCGGTCTTGACCTCTCCTACTCTACATCCTCCCACTCTCGCCACTACCTCCGCTGCTTCACTCTCCGTGGTTGAAATCTCCATCCCTTTAATTCGCAGCTCTCCCATCTTTTGCGGCCTACTGACTTTGGCTCTGTCAGTCAAAACCTCCTTTAGTTTTTCCGCCAGTAAGTCCGCCTGCTTTCCCCTTTCCTCTCCCGGTATCTCGAGTATCAGGGCTCCGGTAGCCCCCATTCTGGTCTTGATCTTTTCGATCCCAATGCCGGTTAGATAGATTTTCCTTTTCGCCTCCGCTAAAAGGTCTTTGTATTGTCCCCGTTCAGCGGTTACTGTTACCGCTGCGGTATTGGGGACTCTTCTCTTCACCTTTTTCTCCTCCTTCCTTTCTATTTTAACCATTTTTCTTATTTCCTGCCTTTTCTTTTCTTCTTTCTCTTTCTTCTTCTCTCTCCTACCTATTACCTTGGACCACTTTTCTCCCTGTGATGTGGGTGCTCCCTCCTTTTCAATTTGCTCTTGATGCTCTCTCCTTTGTGCTCTTGTGGGTGGCAACTGAGGGTACTCCTGCATGTATTTGTTTCCTTCGTGTGGTACCGACTCTTTCTCCATTTCTTTTCCTTTACTTTCTTTGTTGCCCTTCCTGGCCCCTCGTTTGGGAGTTTCCTTCTCTTGCGATGACCACTTATTTAGGGCTTTAAACACCATTTTGGATACTTCCTCTTCTAGCCCTTTCTTCGTTGGCTCTTCCTTCTTCCTTTCTAGCCTTACTTTTTTGTTAAGTAGGATATCCTCCCTAATTTTGGGGCCTGCCTCTGCTGCTTTTGCGACCCTGGCTTCCTTTATCGGGCGTCTCTTTTCTCTCGGGATCAATCCTTTCTGGACTTCTATTACTCCAACTGGGATCTCCTCCTCCTCCATCATGTCCACCATAGGTGGGGTGATCGCCCTTTCCTTCTCTACGCGGACCAGGGGCGAGGGAGCACCCGCCATGTGTAGTTGTGCTTTCTTTAAACTCTGGTCCGCGTTTCCTGGCTGCTTCGAGGGCGGGGAGGATACCGCTACTTGCAGCGGTGCCTCCCGTATACCTCGAAGCATTTCCTTTACCTCCTCTAATTCTTTTCTGACCTCCTTCAGCGACGTCTTCAGACCTACATTTTCCGTCCGCAGTTCTTCTATTAGGTCCAGATTGCATCCGCATTTGTCCTGTGCCATTTGCATGGCCAGGACATTTGCTCCTGCTGTTATGGCTGCGGCAGCGTCTCTGAGGACCTTTACATGGGTTCCCTTTAGGCTTTTCGACTTCTGCGAAAAACCGAGGACTTTGGCAGACGCTTCCAGAATTGTCGCTGTTATGTCACGGAAGGGAGCCTCCTCCAGGTGTTCCGTTAGCCTTGTAATCTCCGCCTTGTATTTCCTGTTGGAAGTACAATCTTGAAATTCCTCCATAGGATTCTCTAATCCTTTCAGAAGAGTTTCCTCTCTTTTTGCTCCATTATGGCAAGTTTCCTTGCCATAAACTCCTTCTTGAGGCGGTATTCCCCGGTAGTTTCTCTCCTACCCCTACCTCTGGTGGCCTTTTCTACTAGACGCTCCTCGTCCGTATTGCCATCCTCGTCTCTGGGGATTTCCCACTTCCCTTTCTTTTTTATGGTGACTTCATCACCGTCATCGGAATCCTCTTCCTTTGAGGTGGCGAATGGCGTTGAGTCGTCGACCTTGATGGGCGATCGAGATCTGTCGCTATTGTCGGTCTCTTCCGCCTTCTTCGTCTCTATGAGCTTTGCGCTCCTGAGTCCCTCCCTCCTAACCGTTACCTGGCTTTTGCCAGGTCGGCTTCTCATGTCCTTTAGTCTAGCCTGGGTCGTCTTAATTACTTCCGAATCCGATGTGTCATAGTTTGAGGAGGTTAAAAAATCAGTCATTGTGGTTTGAACCCCACAACTCTGCACGGCTCCGGTGCCCGGGCATGCCCGCATCCCCCCGGAAAGGGGGAGCCTCCGAGTTCCCCCGGAGGAGCACCATATGGCACGGGCCGACGGAATGTATCATCGTCGGCACTGGCCCCCCGCCCCCTACACGCGCCCTGACCACCATTTCTGGTGGCCAGACCGCTTTCGGGGGTCCCGCACCTCCGACAATGTGGGCACCGTGCAGAGCGCCGCCACGCGGGGGGCCCCATGGAAGGAGATAGTTCACCGGTGTCGCACCCCACCGGGAACGTCTCCCCCATGGCAGCCAGCGTGCTCGCGCCGCCCGAGGGTCCGCTTTAGGGTGATGCGATCGCAATCCCTCGGGCACAGCACACAGGGGCTCCGGCCCCGCCTCGGAATACGTCCGAGCGGCCCGGAGCACCCCTCCTCCCCCCGGGTACCGTGAGGGGTTCCAAACCCTCACGGTGTGCAGACCCGGGTGTGGGTACCTCTCTCCGCCTGGCCGTGGCCAGGAAGGATGAGGGAGAGGATCGTTCCCTTTGGCTGCCGGAGCACCGGCGTGCAATGCCTCCGGGAATGAGTCCTCTGGTTGGCGCATGAGGGTGTCTCGACCCCGACCTCGGAATACGTCCGAGCGGCCCGAGACACCCCTCCACCCCCCGGGTACCATGGGGCAAGCCTCATGGTGTGCAGACCCGGGTGTGGGTTCCCTGTCCGTTCGACCGGGGCCGAACGGGTGAGGGAAGTCGGGGAGTCCACCTTCGAGACGAAGATGGGGTCCTCTCCCCTCGTCACCCTAGCGTCCCCCGACCCCGACCTCGGAATAAGTCCGAGCGGCCCGGGACATCCCTCCACCCCCCGGGTACCGTGGGACTGGTCCCGCGGTGTGCAGACCCGTGTGTGGGATCCTCCATTCGCTCAGCCGTGGCTGGGACGAACGAGGGAGAGAGGTCCTCCCCTCTTCGGCTGCCGGAGCACCGGCGTGCAATGCCTCGGAGGGTGGGATCTCTCAGGACGCGGTAGGGTACCCCGACCCCGACCTCGGAAACGTCCGAGCGGCCCGGAGTACCCCTCCGCACCTCAGGCACCACGGGGGAGGAGGATCCCCATGGGGTGGAGCCCTGGATGCGGGTACGTCCCTCCGCCCCGATCTAACCGTAACGGTCCAACCGAGGCGGGAGGAAAGGGTTCTCTCTCTTCGGCTGCCGGAACACCGGCGTGCAATGCCTCGGAGAGAGAGGTCCCCTTCCTGGAGCGAGTGTAGAGGAGGTCATCCCTGTCGGCTGCCGGAGCACCGGCGTGCAATGCCTTCAGGGATGATGATCTCATCCCACCCGCTCTGTGACCATGCTGGTCATGGACCAGGCTGGTCACTCAGCCCGGTCGGGTGCTCTTGGTCCAGTCCCTCCGTACAGACCACTCCGGCATGGTAGAACCTGCCAGGGGCCAAAACCCCCGCCGGTACAGCTCTGTACATCATCGGGACCTTCAAGCCTCCCCACCACGTCAAGGTGGCACCCACGGGGAGGTGCGAATACTATCTCCGGAAATTCCGAAATCGCGATGTAATTGCCGAGTGCTTACCTGTGGGTTGTGGTGAACAGCTGTTAGCACAGCTATTTCATTAACTTCTCCTGTAACAGTTTTTCTTCGTTTTCTTTTTTAGTTTGTACGCTGCCATCCGAGATAAAGGCAGTCACAACTTTGTAAAAAAAAGAACGTGAGCGAACATTGTCTGGAAAACGCTCAGCATACAAGGCAACAGCATCGTCAACATTCCTCCTACGTTCACCATAAATCAGAATCATTTCAATTTTTTCTTCTACAGTTGCAGAATTCATTTTTCACTTGCAATTCTGTTCAAAGAATGAAGGATAGATATGCAAGTAATAAAAACTAGTCAAGTAAAATGAAATTGTTAGAGATGCTTTCAGTTCTAATTCTGAAAGAAAAGTGATCTCTGACCGCATTGCACTGCCTTTTATAATAAGCCGTAGTTCGCCATACACCCACAGTGGCGCGTCGAGCAGTTCCCTCTTCGATTCGGGTTCCAATTTGAGATTTGAACGTTACCACCCACCCTACCACGAGAGTATGGGGGGGAATAACTTTTATTATATTCTTTAAAAATATTGAACAGGTATTTTTTATTTCTCAATCCAATGATCATTTCTGGAGAATTGTGGAAAATATAATTTTTTCCGATTACAGCGCTATCACGAATAAAAAAAAGTTTCGGACAAAATTTACGTATTTTGTGGCGTAGAATCCGTATCTGCAATAAAAAATGGGGGTTTCCATTTAAGATTTCAAAGTTGCCCCCAACCCCCATCCCCAGGGGGTGGTATGGGAGGTCGAGTTTGGTATCATTGGATGTCCCCCTTCGAGACTAACAACTTTCATTAACCACTTTTTTTTATCCAATGCATAGTTCTCGAGATATTTCAATGTCTTCAGATAAATCGTGCACCCTGTATATTTTCGAAAAATGTAAGGCATAGAACGAAGGAATACGAAGCTTTTTTCATAACCTTCAATAAATATCATAATTTTATGATCAAAATTTCCATTTGGGAATACTGATATATAAAGACAGAGAATCAATATTTTTGGAAAAGTATGCAAGAAATATTTATACAATAGTAACCTTAAAAGGATATTATTATGCATATTGGAATTAAAAACATATTTATACATGTGTCTTCGAATTGAATCGATGAGTGCATCGTAGTAACGTTAGGCAGACGTTCGACCTATGATACTTGCTTGTAAGTAGTATTTTGTTAGCCATAGTGCAATTTGCGATACAGGAAAAGAAAGTAGAAGTATTTAACTAAATAATCCGTATTGTAACATGTGAAAATTCAAACTTTCGATTTTTGAGCCATATGTCCAGCATTTCGCGTTTTCGCCCCACTGTGCGACGTCACCGATGAGCACGCTGTGCGATCGTGTCTCGACGCGTTCGTGGCTTGGGTTGAGATCGACGGCTCGCTATCGATTCCGTTCAGCGTACAAACGCTGCGACGAGACCTTGATCGCGAACTAGCCCGATTCTACACTGCGGCCGTCGGTCGCTCGAAACTGCGCAGTTTGAGTTTTCACGCGTTGCGTCGCATCTACGCCGGCTATCGATTTCTGCACGGTGCGTCGATCGAGCGTCTGCGCGAGAATCTCGATCACCGCGATTGATGACAAACGAATTGCTACGTGAACGCGTGTCTGTACGAGATCGTCAACAGCACCGTTTAACGGGTAGATCGCGCGAGTTCGAAATCAACGACGAACATCGAGCGTTCGACCTGGACGACGCTTCTTCAATAAGCAACAACCGGAGTGTCGCGCTCTCTTTCACCGGTGGGCAGACCGCACGTCGCGCGTCTCTCCGAGTCGAAGACAGCGCTCTTGTCGCGACTATGACGAGCGAGAGCGCGACGTCCATACTCGACGGCGCGAATTCGTCGTCAGCGACGAACGACGATTTCTTGAATTCGTTGCTGGCGCAATCGCAGTTCCGACGCATTCTCGTGGACGCGTCGCTACCGGAGACAACGACGTCGTCGCTCGAACGAACGGGCTCGACCGATTCGCCGTCGCATCGCGATCGAGGCGATCGATCGTCCGTGAGAACGATGTCGCCGATGACTGATCGACAACGAGGTGATTGTAGCATGGTCGTTAGCATTCCCGCGAGTCTGGTTGCGACACCGACACCATCCGATCCCACCATCGGCTCGGCAACGGAACCCGCGAAGCTCGTCAATCGCGGCGGCGGCGGCGGCAAGAAACTGAACCTGCTCGGATCGTCTGCGAAGAAGTGACCGCGACAACGCAGCGCCACGCCATCGTTGTCGAGTCAAACGACCAAGAGGATTAGATTCGAATCGACGGAGGCCAAGGGTTTTCTAGTTTTTTGTGAATCTTCATAATTCTTTTCAATTCCTTGTATGTTTGGATTAAATCTTTTTTTTATTTTTTAATTTAATATAAAGTTAATAAGTTAACGCGCGTTGCTTGCATTGCTGTTATTGTTAAAAATAGTAATAACCGTGACAACCCAGTAAATAGTATCATATAACTCAGTGTTCTAATAAACCTCCCCGTGGGTGCCACCTTGACGTGGTGGGAAGGCTTGAAGGTCCCGATGATGTACAGAGCTGTACCGGAGGGGATTTCGGCCCCTGGCAGGTTCTACCATGCCGGAGTGGTCTGTACGGAGGCACTGGACCAAGAGCACCTGACCGGGCTGAGTGACCAGCCTGGTCCATGACCAGTATGGTCACAGAGCGGATGGGAGGAGATGCCTGAAGGCATTGCACGCCGGTGCTCCGGCAGCCGACAGGGATGACCTTCTTTATACTCGCTCCAGAAAGGGGACCTCTCTCTCCGAGGCATTGCACGCCGGTGCTCCGGCAGCCGAAGAGAGAGAACCCTTTCTTCCTGCCTCGGTTGGACCGTTATGGTTAGACCGGGGCGGAGGGATGTACCCGCATCCAGGGCTCCACCCCATGGGGATCCTCCCCCCATGGTGCCTGAGATGCGGAGGGGTGCTCCGGGCCGCTCGGACGTTTCCGAGGTCGGGGTCGGGGTACCCTATCGCGTCCTGAGAGATTCCACCCTCTGAGGCATTGCACGCCGGTGCTCCGGCAGCCGAAGAGGGGAAGACCTCTCTCCCTCATTCGTCCCAGCCACGGCTGAGCGAATGGAGGATCCCACACCCGGGTCTGCACACCATGGGACTATTCCCATGGTACCTGGGGGTTGGAGGGGTATCCCGGGCAGCTCGGACTTATTCCGAGGTCGGGGTCGGGGCACCCTAGGGTGACGAGGGGAGAGGACCCCACCTTCATCGAAGGTGGACTCCCCGACTTCCCTCACCCGTTCGGCCTCGGTCGAGTGGACAGAGGAACCCACACCCGGGTCTGCACACCATGGGGCTTACCCCATGGTACCCGGGGGGTGGAGGGGTGTCTCGGGCCGCTCGGACGTATTCCGAGGTCGGGGTCGAGACACCCTCATGCGTCATCTAGAGGACTCATTCCCGGAGGCATTGCACGCCGGTACTCCGGCAGTCAAAGGGAATGATCCTCTCCCTCATCCGTCTTGGCCATGGCCAGGCGGAGAGAGGTACCCACACCCAGGTCTGCACACCATGAGGGTTTGGAACCCCTCACGGTACCTGGGGGGTAGAGGGGTGCTCCGGACCGCTCGGACGTATTCCGAGGCGGGGCCGGAGCCCCTGTGTGCTGTGCCCGAGGGAATGCGATCGCATCACCCTAAAGCGGACCGTCGGGCGGCGCGAGCACGCTGGCTGCCATGGGGGAGGCGTTCCCGGTGGGGTGCGACACCGGTGAACTACCTCCTTCCATGGGGCCCCCCGCGTGGCGGCGCCCAGTGCGGTGCCCATGTTGTCGGAGGCATGGGACCCCTGGAAGCGGTCTGACCGTCAGAAATGACGGCCAGAGCGTGTGTAGGGGGCGGGAGACCAGTGCCGACGATGGATATTCCGTCGGCTCGTTTCATATGGTGCTCCTCTGGGGGAACTCGGAGGCTCCCCCCTTTCCGGAGGGGATGCGGGCATGCCCGGGTACTGGAGCCGCACTGGGTTGTGGGTTACAAACAAAAATGACTAACTCACATTACTCTTCCTCTATCTCGGATCTGGACAACGATAAGACGACCCTGACAAGTAACAAGGACACGAATAACCTGGAGCGAGCCCGTAGCTCCAGAAGGAAGGAGGGGGATACAATCCTGGAAAATCAACCGAGCACAAGCCAGTTGCCAAAAAGGGAGGGACTCCGGAATGCCAACAAAAGTAGGCAAAATAAACCCCGATACAGGTCCAGTCCGTATTCGGACGCGGAAGAATCCACATCTTCAGCTGAATACGCACCCTCGGATGGAAAAGACCATCCCGAAGGGAAGTGGGACATCCCCAGGAAGTCCAACGTGGAAACGGATGAGGAGAAGTTCGCAGAGAAGGCAACTCGGCCAAGAGGAAGACCCCGAACAATAGGGGAATACGAGAAAAAGAAAATCTTCATGGCCAAGAGGGCGAGTCTGTTGGAAGCAAAGAAGGAGGAGACCCTGTTAAAGGGACTGGAAAACCCTACGCAGGCCTTCAAAGACTGCTCGCTAAATAGAAAATATAGAGCAGAACTATACAGACTAATGGAGGGCTTAGAAAATGCCCCCTTCAGGGACGTAGCTGCCTCGATTTTAGAGGTATCAACGAAAATCCTCGGATTTTCGGTACGTTCCAAAAATTTGAAGGGGACGTGTGTAAAGCTCCTACGGGACGCGTCGGCAGCCATTATAGCGGGAACAACAACCCTCGAAAAAAGAATGGCCACGGGACAAGACGGGGAAGAAATGGACCTCCTGGACGAACTAAGGGAGGAAAACAAACAGCTCCGAGCATCGCAGGAGCAGTTAAAAAAAGAATTGGAGGAAATGAAGAAAACGCTCCAGAGTAAGAGGAGGGTACCACCATCGAGGGCGGTGTCCCCCTCGCCCCTGGAGCGCGGGCAGGATACAAGGCCAAGTATAAAGAAGGCACCGTCATCAATGATGGTGTCCTCCTTGCCTCAGACATGTAAGGAAAATGTGGCTCGTGGTGTAAAGAGGATGCTATCACCTGAGACGGCGATTCTCTCGCCCACGGAATACATTAGTGAGGAGGAAAGGAGGAAGGGAACAAAAGAAAGAAGAATCCTACCTCCATCTGTGGACATGGAAGAAGAAGAGGCAATGGTGGTGGGGGCAATTGAAATACAGCCAGGGTTGATAAAACCCAACAAAGTGCACCCCAACAACAAAGAAGGAAAACCAAGGATAAGGGAGGATGTGTTGTTGAATACAAAAGTAAAAATGGAAAGAGGGGATCAACCAATGGGAAAGGAGAGGAAAACAACTGAGGAGGAAAAGATTACCTCCATGGTCTACGAAGTCATGAGACTATGGGAGAATAACAAAAAGAAGACAGACCAGGGTCGCATGGAAGAGACGGAAACGAAAAAAGTTCAAAAGAAAGGGAAAAAGAAAGGGGGAAGGACAATACCGAACGGCCAAAAGGCAGGGAAACAGGGGTCACAACAACCTAAGGCTTCACCACCCTCAAGGGAAGACCCACCCCTACCACAAAGGTCCCTGAGGTTCAATTCAGAACCCAAAGAAACCTGGGCAACAGTGGTGGGTCGTAAAGAAAGGAGAAAAGAAAGAAAAGAAAAAGAAAAAGAAGAAGGAAAAAACCCTCCAAAAAAAGTGATAAGGGAGAAAAGTGTGGACAGGAAGGTCAAAAGAAAGATTCCCAATACTGCGGCAATTTCAATTTCCGCGGAAAAAGGAAAATACAAAGAAATTTTGACAGAAGCGAAGAAGAAAATCGATATAGACGAATTAGGGATCTCCAAAATCAGGACGAGACAAGGTGTTACGGGAGCCCTGATCTTGGAGATCCCAGGCGAGAATAGAAATGCGCAGGCAGATAATCTCGCCAAAAAATTAAGGGAAATACTTGTGGATAAGGCCAAGGTGACCCGCCCACAAAAGATGGGGGAGATTAGGCTTAGGGGACTGGAAATATCTACCTCGGAGGAAGAAGCCGCACAGCGGGTGGCCCAAGTTGATGACTGCAAAGTGACAGAAGTCCAAACGGGGATAATTAGGACCATACCGTCAGGATTAAGGTCATTGTGGATGAGATGCCCACTTATGGCAGCCAAAAAAGTGGCGGAAAAAGGGACATTATCCCTGGGTTGGACGCAAGTGAAAGTGGAGCTCTTGGATACGAGGCCTCTACAGTATTATAGATGCCTCGAAAGAGGGCATGTCCAACAAAATTGCAGCAGTGAAATAGACAGGAGAAACAACTGCTACAGATGCGGTGAAATGGACCATCTGGCCCGCAACTGCACAAAAGCGGCAAAATGTGTCGTATGTGCTGAAGCGGGTAAACCAGCGGGTCATCGAATGGGGGGACCGGCGTGTCGTCCCCCCAACAAGAGGAGGAAAAAGAAGAGGGATGAGGGGCAGGAAGCGGAGGCAACCGCACCGATGCCACCCGCCCCCTTCTCCCTCTAAAAAAGCAACAGATGGAAGTGGAGACAAGGAGCAAGAGCCCTCCCCACCCATAGAATCTTTGGATCCAGTTACCTCGGTAGCTGAAACGCAAGATAAGGGGGAGGAAATGGATGTTGAAAGAAGGGGAGAAAAGCGACATCGACCCATAAGAAGAAGTGGGAGTGAGGAAGAGGAGGAGCCCGTGAAGAAACTCTTAATCCAACTGTAATGGACACAAGGCTCCTCCAATCCAATTTGCACCGTGCTCGGCAAGCACTACCGTTATTCGAACACACTATGAACGAGCGCGGTGCTGGACTGGGAATTGTGGCGGAGCCCTACAAAGTCCCCAGAAACCATCCAAGATGGTTTGGGGACAACCTGGGCTCCGTCGCAATAATATGGAAGGCAGGCGGAAATTCTCCCCCCGCTACCTATGTAGGTAGCGGAGAAGGGTATGTCGTGACCAGATGGGGGGTCCTGACTGTGGTCGGGGTATACCTCCCCCCAACAAAGAGCCTGGACTTGCCCAGCTTTAAGTCCAGGCTCCGAGATATGGGGAGGGCCGTCAAGCGGTATCTCCCCGAACCTGTCATCATCGCCGGGGACTTCAATGCGAAGTCGGAGTTGTGGGGATCCCGGCGTGGTGACAGGAGGGGGGAGGAAGTGGAAGACTGGGCCGCGGGCCTTGATCTGCACCTGCTCAATGAAGGACAAAAAGCAATGTTCGTAGGGTCGCAGGGGGAATCGATCATTGATCTCACATGGGCTTCCCCTGCGGCCCTGAAGCGGGTGCGGAGCTGGAGGGTGGCGGACGAGCTCGAAGCTCTCTCTGATCATCTCCTGATAGAGATGGAGCTGTCCGTCACCCCCGAAGGCCTGCGGACAAAACACCCACAGAAGCAACCCCGACCAGGGAGATGGGCCCTGAATCAGCTGGACAGGGAGGCCCTGGACATCTCCCTGGAGGCTGCCACCTGGCCACGGCAGAAGGAGGGGCGGGACCTTGACTCTGCGGTTATGGAAATTATGGAAGTGATCGCACATGCGTGTGACGAAGCCATGTCCAGAGTCAGGTCCTGCCCAAAAAGATCCGCCTGGTGGTGGATACCATAGCCGATACCATAGCCGACCTCAGGCAAAAGTCGGTCCACCTCAGGCGGGCCTTCAGAAAGGTTCGCAACAACTCTGACTCGGACCCCGAGGCTATTCTGGCTGCCCGAAGGGAGTTTTGCCTCGCGGCAGCATCCCTGAGGGACGCGATTGGGGCGGCCAGAGGTAAAGGGTGGGACACCCTCCTCCTCTCGCTAGACGTGGATCCGTGGGGGCGTCCATACAAGATGGTCATGAATAAATTGAAGCCATGGACGCCCCCGCTAACGGAGACGCTCGACCCCCGGTTCCTGGAGCGGGTCATGGAGACCCTCTTCCCGATCAGGGGAGGGGACCCCATAGGCCCATATGTTGCCCCCACCCCTGAACAACAAGGGGTGGTACCGGGGGTCACTGAGGAGGAGGTGGCTGGGGCCATCAAGCGGGTCAAAAGCCGTAAGGCGCCAGGACCTGATGGAATCCCCGGCCGCGTCCTTACCCTAGCCTCGGGGTACCTAAGCGGCAGGCTCGCGAAAATTTTTTCGCGAGCCCTGAGGGAACACAGGTTCCCCCCAGTCTGGGAAGGGCCAATGTGGTCCTCCTCCATAAAGAGGGCAAACCGGAGGACACCCCCTCCGCATACCGGCCCATATGTCTCCTAGACGAGGCGGGCAAGCTCTTCGAGCGCGTCATAGCTGCCCGCCTCGTGGAGCATATGTCCCGGGAGGGTCCGGACCTTGACGACGGCCAATACGGCTTCCGGGAGGGACGTTCCACCGTAGACGCGATTCGGCGTCTGCGATCCCTCTCGGAGGCCATTGTGCAGGAGGGCGGGGTAGCGGTGACGGTGTCTCTTGACATCGCCAACACGTTCAACACCCTGCCCTGGAGTAGGGTGGTAGAGGCCATGAGAGGCCACTTCCGATTTCCACCCTACCTCGTGGCCGTCGTCGAGGATTACTTCCGAGGTCGGCGTCTAGCCTGGAAGGATGCCGACGGCAAGGTATGCGAGAGGGGCATGAGTTGCAGGGTTCCACAGGGGTCTGTTTTGGGCCCCCTCCTGTGGAACCTCGGTTACAACTCTGTCCTCCAAACTGCCCTCCCCGCCGGCAGTAGCATCATCTGCTACGCGGATGACACGCTCATTCTAGCCGGGGGGAAAGACTGGGGGGAGGCCGTGAGAGCGGCTAATTTTGCGGTGGCATGCGTCGTGCGCTCCATTTGCGGACTGGGTCTGGTGGTGGCAGAAAGAAAAACTGAGGCGATATTCCTCCATCGCAAGAGGATGAAGCCACGCCAGGCCCAGATCAGAGTAGGAAAGGTCAGGGTTTCATTAGAGGCCCAGATGAGATATCTGGGCCTCACTTTGGACGGCACCTGGTGCTTCAAAGAACACTTCAATCGCCTGGTCCCCCGGTTGAGAGCTGTCTCGAGCTGTGTCAGTAGACTCATGCCGAGAACCGGGGGACCAGATGGGAAGGCGCGTCGCCTCCACGCTGGGATACTTAATTCGGTGGCCCTGTACGGGGCACCGATATGGGCAGAGGCCCTGGCCGTCAGTCGCCCGATGCAAGCAACCCAGCGCAAGGTGCAAAGTACGCTGGCGGTCAGGGTAGCCCGCTGCTACCGTACTGTGTCCCACGTGGCGGCGGCGGTCCTGGCGAGCATGCCCCCCTTGGAGCTCATGGCCCTGTCGTACAAGAGAATGTACGACAGGAAGCGGGAGCTCCTGCGTACAAGGGGAGCGGAAGAATCGCTCGCCAGGGCAATAAGAAGTATGAAGCACCAGACTCGACAGGTCCTCCTTCAGAGATGGCAGGGATTACTGGCTAATGCCAGGTATGGAAGGAGGACTGTCGAGGCCGTCCGGCCCTTTCTGCCAAAATGGGTAGGAAGGGCCCATGGGACCCTGACCTTCAGGATGGCACAGGTGCTCACCGGGCATGGATGCTTCGGTGAGTACCTGTGCCGTATAGGTTAGGAGCGCACGACGTCATGTCATCACTGCGGACATGACCATGAATCCGCGCAGCATACACTTCAGGAATGCCCCGCCTGGAGTGCTGAGCGCGGAGTTATGGTCAGGGCTCTGGGTCAGGACCTTTCGCTCCCTGGGATAGTTGGGGCGATCCTAGGGAGCGAAAAGAAGTGGGATGCATTCTCCTCCTTCTGCGAATCAGTAATGAAGCAGAAGGAGGAGGCGGAAGAAATGCGAAGAAGGGCAAAGGGTCGGGGAAGGAAAAGAAGGCGGCGCGAGAGGCACCGCCAGTGGAGGGGAGGGAGGAGCAGGAGTAGGGAGGGGGACGCCGACTCGTCAGAGGAGGACGAGCTTAGGAGGATGGTGGGTCAACCACCTCCTCCCCCCTCCCCCTCCTGCTCCCCCCAGGCACCAGCAAGAGGAAGAACTCGTAGGGGGCACGGTGCTCCCTGCGGGACTCAAAGAAAACAACCAATGAGTGGAAACAGAGGGGTGGCGGTGGTGGTGTTGCAACGACTCACCCCCCTGATGGTGGCGGCAGCAATGCTGACCGTCCCCCTGCAGTAGGGGTGGATATGGCACCGCCGCCACCGCCACCCCCTGCTGCCCCTCCAATGGCAGCGACGGGCGATGGTAGCGAGTAGGGGGCACGGCTCAGGCCCAGGCCCCACACCCGCAGGCCACCGACTTCCCTGAAAAAGGGAGTCGGATAAAAATAAGGGGGGGAGAGGGTATCGATGGTGACAAACCGTTGAAAAATACCCCTCCCCCCCTAATCGCAGATCCGACATATAAATCGGATATGCGGGAGGGGGGTCACTAGGACCCCCTACCCCATTCCTCTGCGGTGGTGGGGTGAGCCCGACGGCTAGGGGAGTATATCTCCCCGTAACCGCCGGGGGGGAGGGTGGGGCACCGTGCGGGGACTCCCGGTGCCCCAACTAGCCCTCCCAACGTAGGGTGGCTGGCTGATACGGTGGGTCAGTCGGCCACACAACATGCATTGGCGGCGCCTCGTCTGGTCAGGAACGGTGGTTGAAGCGGGCTTCGGCCGGCTTCCCCCTTCCTGACCGAAGAGACGAGGCGTGAGGGGTGGGAAAGGGGAACGGTGGTCGAGGCGGGCCCTCGGGCCGGCTTCCCCCTTCCCCTGGGGGAGCGGTGGTTGAAGCGGACCTTCGGGTTGGCTTCCCCCCTCCCCTACCCCACCCCTCAGGGACAGAAGGTGCAACACCCGGACTCGGGGCCCCGATTGCAGTTACATGGCACCGGGGCCCCGACCCAAGTCCCTTCGCAGCGCCACCCGGGGAGGTTTTGGCCGGTAGGAGTCCGGCATAACCCTGGCCCTTCCCCGTGGGTCAGGGTATCCATGATGGATTTCCTCCTCGTCAAAAAGAAAAGAAAAAAAAGTGTTCTAATAAATAATGACGAATTTGGTAAAAATTTATGTTATTGACATCTTTTACAGTTAGTTTTTCTTGAATTTTCTTGAATAATAATAACCAGTCCCCCGACTCAGGATGGTATCCATCAAACTGGGCAGGTTAATGCCCAACGTCGGGGGGCCAGACATGAAGGCACGTCGCCTCCACGCAGGAGTACTCAACTCGGTGGCGATGTACGGAGCACCGGTGTGGGCCGAGTCGCTGGCCGTCAGTCGCCCGATGCAAGCGCGGATGCGCAGAGTACAAAGGGGAGTGGCGGTCAGAGTGGCCAGGTGCTACCGAACAGTCTCCTGCGTGGCGGCGACAGTCCTGGCGAGCATGCCCCCTATGGAGCTCATGGCCCTGTCGTACAAGCGTATGTACGACAGGAAGCGTGAGCTCCTACGAACAGGGGGGGCAGACGTACCGCTCGCCAGGGCAATTAGGCAAATGAAGCACCAGACTCGACGGATCCTCTTTGAAAGATGGAAAAGATACTTGGCCAATGCCAGGTACGGGAGGAGGACCGTCGAGGCCGTCCGGTCCTTCCTGCTCGAGTGGGTGGGAAGGGCCCATGGGGCCCTGACTTTCAGGGCGGCACAGGTGCTCACCGGGCATGGCTGCTTCGGTGAGTACCTATGCCGCATAGGAAAGGAGCGCACAACCGCCTGCCATCACTGCGGGCATGGCCACGACTCCGCGCAGCACACGCTCCAGGAATGCCCGGCCTGGAGCAACGAGCGCGGAGTCGTGGAAAGAGAAGTAGATCGCGACCTTTCGCTCCCCAGTGTAGTCCAGGCGATACTGGGGGCGAAAAGAAATGGGAGGCTTTTACCTCCTTTTGCGAAAAAATTATGAAGCAAAAGGAGGAGGTCGAGGAAGAGAGAAGGAGAGCGGAAGGAAGAGGCATGAGGAAGAGACGGAGAGACCGCCACCGTCAGTGGAGGGGAGGGAGGAGCAGGAGCAGAGAGGGGGACGTAGACTCCTCGGAGGAGGAGGAACTCAGGAGACTTGGGGGTCAGCCACCACCACTTCCTCCCCCTCCCCCTCTGCTCCCCCTCCAATAAGGAGAGCGAGAGGAAGGACGACCTGAAGGGGGCAGCTAGGAGGCCTCCAAAGAGACAGAGGGGTGCCGATAGTCGCGCTACAGCGACTGGCCCCCATCGCTGTAGCCACGGCAGCGCTGCTGCTGGTTGCGACCCCGACAACAGCAACAACGGCAACGACGACTCCAACGATGCCCCCCTCCACTTCATCGGGGACGGGGGCAGTTGCGGCGGAGGAGGAAAGGGCGGAGTGGAGAACGAGGCTTCGAGCAAGGCCATCCACCCGCAACACACCGGCTTCCCGTAAAGAAGCCGGATGACAGTAAGGGGGGAGAGAGAGTACGTCGGTGATGGATCCATCACCACGTAGCACACACCTCCTCCCCCCCTTAAACACAGGGCCCAACAATACGTTGGGCATGCAGGAGGGGGTCACTAGGACCCCTCACCCCATTCCTCTGCGGAGGTGGGGAGAGCCCGACGGCTAGGGGAGTATATCTCCCCGTAACCGCCGGGCGGGAGGGTGGGGCACCGGGCGGGGACTCCCGGTGTCTCAACTAGCCCTCCCAACGTAGGGTG